TTAAAAATAATAATCAAGAATGTAAATATAGATAATAATAAAAAAAAATAAATGTACATAAATAATAAATGAAAATAAGTAATTTTAATAAATAATAATGGGCAATAAGAATAAAAAGGTTTAACTAAAAATAACAATATTAGCAATAGTTAATAATTAGAATAAAAATAAATTAACAATAATAATAATAATATTATTAATAACAATAATACCAAATTGTATTAATAATTATTATAATGGTTTTCATTTATTGTTAATATTATTATCAACATTATTTTTCTTATTATTTACATAATTGAATATAAAAATATTATCACTTGCGAGAAAGTCAATTGCGCCCTCTGACAATTAATTGTAGCGCGGGCTTTTTGAAAATAAAAAATTTTATTCATTCCTTATTACTAAATTAATTTAATTTTGTTAATTATTATTTTAAATTATTATTATTTTGCATTAATATTTTTATTATCATTTTAATTATTACTATTATTATTAAAATCTATATTTGACAGAAAATAAGGGATAATTGAATTTTATAAATTTCGATTGTTGAAATTAGATTAACGAACGATATGTTATTCTTTGACTATAAAATCATTTGATCATCATATTCCTATTAATAACCATGAGGCTATCAAACAATACCCATTCAATTTCACTTTGATGCATCTCAATTTAAACGATCAATGAAATAACGAAGGAACGATAGGCTTCGACTGTAATATCAAAAGGGTAGCAGCTGATGTGAAACAAAAGGGAAAGGCTTTTTATTTTTGGCAGTGCACATATAGATGACTGTTAATGATACTATAAAATTATATTATTATAATAATGACAATAATAATAATAATAATAACAAAAATAATAATAATGAAAATAATAATCATAATATTATATATACTGTTACGTAATATTTTGATATTACAAGTAATATTACAATAATATAAGAAATATTACAATAGCATAGAATCACATTCTTGGAATATTTCATACACATTTTAGGGATAATAAAATGTCCGACCTTTGGAATATTTCTCTGAAATATTCCATTATAACAGTGAGAATATTCCATTATAACAGTGCGAATATTCCTTTGAAATATTCCATTATAACCGTGGGAATATTTCTTCAGAATATTCCATTATAACCGTGTGAATATTCCTCTGAAATATTCCATTATAACAGTGGAAATATTCATTAGGAATGTTTTATTCTACTGAAATTTTTTAAATTATTTTTTTCTGTATTTAATATTATTGATAATATTCCATACACATTCTAGAAATATCAAAATGTCCGACCTTTGGAATATTTCTTTGAAATAATGTACGAATATTCCATTTTATTATTGTAACTGGAATATACAGTAGGAATATTATACTGAAATATATATTCAGTGGAATATTCCAGAAATTCCAAAAGAATTTTCCTAATATTCCATTTGAATATTCCCTAAGTACCAGTGGAATATTCCAGAAATGTGAGTAAAATATTACGAATATTCCAATAGAATATTAGAGAAATTTTAATGAAATATTATAAATATTCAGAGGAATATTACAGGAATGTGAATAGACCATTTTTCAATTTTTCTTTGGAATATTCCAGGAACGTGACTGAAATATTCCCAATATTACAATTTAATATTTCTGTAATATAATGGAATATTCCGAAAGTATCAACAAAATATTCCAAGAATGTGAATGGAATATTCTCATTTTTAAGTGGAATATTCCGATATTCCAATTAAATATAACTAATAATTGGAATATTCCCAAAGTAGAAGGCAAATATTCCAATATAATATTCTTAATTTTCCAGTGGAATATTTTTAGGAACGTGACTAAAAATATTCCCAATATTCCAATGAAATGTTACTGTAATGTAAATTGAATATTGAATAATATTCTCAAAGGAAAATTGGAATATTCCAGGATTTTAAATGGAATATTCTCACCTTTTAGATGCAATATTGCAGGAATTTGACTGCAATATTCCCAATACTACAATAGAATATTTCTCATATTTCAATAGAATATTAGTAATATTCCAATCTAGTAATACTCTAATATAAGTGGAATATTTCAGGAACGTGTCTGAAATATTCCCAATGTTCTAGTTTTATATACAAAAACGTCATTATAATATTTCCAATATTCCTACTAAATATAACTAATAATTTTAATATTCCCAAAGCACCAGACGCATTTTCAATACATAAAGAGGATATTCTTAATTTTCTATTGGAATATTCCAGGATTGTGACTGAAATATTCCCAATATTCCAATGTAATATTAACGGAATATTCCAAAAGTACCATATGAACTGTTCCAAGTATGTGAATGGAATATCCTCAATATTCCAATTAAATATTACTATAATAGAAATGGAATATTCTTAAGTACCAAATTGAATATTCCACTGAAAAATAAAATGGTCCTATTCACATTCCGGGAATATTCCATGAACGGGACTGAAATATTCCCGATATTACAATGTAATATTTCTGTAATATTATTTGAATATTCCGAGAGTACCAGTGAACTGTTCCAAGGATGTGAATGGAATATTCTCAATTTTTCAGTGGAATGTCTCAGGAATATGACTGAAATATTATTAATATTCCAATCGAAAATCAGTGTAATTTTAGTGGAATATTCTTAATATTCCAATTAAATATTGCTCTAATAGAAATGGCATATTCTTAAGTACCAATTGAATATTCCAGGAATGTGAATAGGACCATTTTATTTTTCATTGGAATATTCCAAGAACGGGACTGAAATATTCCCGATATTCCAATGTAATATTTCTGCAATATTAATTGAATATTCCGAAAGCACATGAATTTGAATGGAATATTCTCAATTTTTCAGTGGAATATCTCAGCAATATGACTGAAATATTACCAATATTCCAATCGAATGTTAGTTTAATTTTAGCGGAATATTATCAATATTGAATATTTCAGGAATGTGAATTGGACCATTACATTTTTCAGTGGAATATTTCAAGAACGGGATTGAAATATTCCCGATATTCCAAGGTAATATTTCTGTAATATTAATTGAATATTCCGAGAGTACCAGTGAACTGTTCCAAAAATGTGAATGGAATATTCTCAATTTTTCAGTGGAATATTTCAGGAATATGACTGAAAGATTACAAATATTCCAATCGAATATCAGTGTAATTTTAGTGGAATATTCTCATTTTTCTGTGCAATATTGCAGGAATTTAACTGTAATATTCCCAAGATAGAAAAAATTGAATATTTCTAAACTATCAATGGAATAATCCAAGAATGTGAATGGAATATTTTCAATATTTCAATTAAATATTACTCTAATATAAATGGAATATTTTCAAAGTACCAGTGGAATATTCCAAGAGTGAGAATAGGCCATTTTCAATTTTTTAGTGGAATATTCCAGGAACGTGGCTGAAATATTTCCAATATTCCAATTTAATATTTCTGTAATATTAATGGAATATTCCGAGAGTACCAATGAATTGCTTCAAGAATGTGAATAGAATATTCTCACTTCTCAGTGTAATATTGCAGGAATTTTATTGTAATATTCCCAACATTCCAATAGAATAAATGGAATATTTCCAAAAAATAATTAAATATTCCAGGAATGTGAATGGAATATCAGTGTAATTTCAATGGAATATTCCATGTGCTACTGGGACAATCAAATTTTGAGAATATAGAAAAAGAAATATCAATCCAGAAGTGTAGGTAGTAGGTAGAGGAAAAACTGGTGGCTAGAGTTCACCTGCCAAGGGTAACCTGTGCGCAAACGAATAGGGAGCCGAGTCACTCTCACTACGATCCTGTAAGGTCTTAATGCTCGTGCGTCTCCCTCTAGCTCATGTACCCGAACAGCGGGATCAGCGCTCTCGGCGTTGTGTGGGTGGGATGCAATCTCTCTCTCTCTCTTTTTCCCATCGTGAGTCTCCCTCTATCGAGTCTATCTCTCTTACTCTGTCTTTCCTATCGAGAGTCTCTCTCTTGCTCCCTCTTTCCTATCGAGTAACTCTGTCTCTCTCCCTCTAACCAAGTTTCTCTCTCTCACTCCCTCTTTCCTATCGAGTAACTCTGTCTCTCTCCCTCTAACCAAGTTTCTCTCTCTCACTCCCTCTTTCCTATCGAGTAACTCTGTCTCTCTCCCTCTAACGAAGTGTCTCTCTCTCTCACTCCCTCTTCTGTATCGAGTGTTTCTGTTTCACTCTCTCTTTCTGTATCGAGTGTCTCTGTCTCACTCCCTCTTTCCAGTCGAGAGTCTTTCTCTCTCTCACTCCTTCTTCCAGTCGAGAGTCTTTCTCTCTCTCACTCCTTCTTCCTATCGAGAGTCTTTTTCTCTCTTTCACTCCCTTCATCAGAGAGAGAGAGAGAGGGAGAGAGTGCGCGCCGCCGCAGTCGTGCGCTGTACTAGGGGAATCCCCCCTCCCCGACGGCGCACTCAGTCCAAGTGGGGGGTACCTGTCTCACGGTGGGAGTCGAGACACTACTGGGCGATGCCACCCGACCGTCAGCCCCACTCCTTTCGCCCCCTCACTCTTCTTTCCTTCTCTCACTCACACTGCCGACTTTCTCTCTCTCTCACTCGTTCTTTTTCCTCTCTCTCACTCACACTACATTCTCTCTCTCGCTCTTTTTTCCCCTCTCTCACTCACACTACCATCTCTCTCTCTCTCTCTCTCCCTCGCTCTTTTTCCCCTCTCTATCTCTCTCGGTCAAACTCTCTGGGCTCCTTTTCAACGACAGTTCGACGCCGGTCGCGCAGCCAGCATGGCTGGGTTATCAAAAAGTTTTCACTACCGTCTATTTCGGAAGCACAACGTCAATGAGGACGACGACGCAGCTTCCGACAATGTCGTTTACTTGAAAATTCAACAAAATATTGTTTATTTATTAAATCAACAAACAATATTCAATTGTCTCATATAAACAATAAAAATGATAAACTTGTGTAAGAAGAAAAAATAATTTTAACCTTTTATAATACACATCAACAAAAATTTTTTGTTGAAATCCCGACGATATTTTCACTGTGCTTGTGTATGTGTATGTGTGTGTGTGTGCTTCTCTCACTCACTCTCGTAACGCCAGATGCGCGAAACCTAACCTCAAAGACAAAGAGTGAGAGAAGGAGAGTGAGTGAATAAGTGAGAGAGGCGTGTTCGCCCAATTCATCCCCCCGGTGTTCTTTCTTTATTTATTTAATACAGTGATTCTTTAATATTTAAACAAGGGGGTGGGGGGTATTTTTAACTCCAAAATTTTATTTTTTTTCTATTATTTCACTGACAATAATATTCTTCTCTCGCTCTATACCTGCTAGTTTGTACAATATTTCTTCTCCTTCTCTGACATGGGTTCCCCCCCACCCTCCACACTTCCTACTCAATATTTTACTCTCAAGCAAAAACTATCACTGACCACGTGACTAAATTCTTAGTGTTTATTTATTCAAATGAAAATAACACTGCAGTTTTTTTTTCTAATAATTTTTGCATCAAAAAATTTTTATCCAATTTTTCTAAATCTATTGTTTTTCAATCTCTAAATTTAGAAAAAAATATTTTTTTTACTTATTTACTCCAAATTTTTTCGCAACTTTTTGGCAAATGGAACACAAAATTTTCTCACCTGTAATTTATATATTAATATATTGGAAAAAATTGTCTTATCTCTCCTTCTCTCTAATAAAGTCGGTCACATGTTATTATTGATTCCCTTAACAGTAATCGCGTGTTATTGTCAGTGATTCACATTAAAAAAAATATATGTGATATCAATTTTAAAAGAAAATAGAGAAAAAAAATATTAAAATTCAATTTCTTTTTCTAATTTTATTATTAAAAACTGTGATTCTGTTCCTTTTTTTTAAATAATATTTATGAATTAATGATTTTTAATATTTTTATTTATTATTATTTATTTTATATTAATTATTAATCTCAGTAGCACAGAATATTCCATTCACATTCGTGGAATATTCAATTCGCAACTAGGGAATATTCAACAGGAATTTTCTATCCACTTTTAGGAATACTCCAAAGAAATATTCCACCAATATTTCAAAGTATTAGAGACGAATATTCCATTCACATTTAGGAATATTCCAAAAGAATTATTATATCTACTTTAAGGAATATCCTGCAGGAATATTTCAACAAAATTTAGAAGTATTCTAAAAAAATATTCCATATACATTTAGGAATATTTAAAAATATTCCATTCACATTTAAAAATATTCCATCTATATTAAACAGATGCCATAGAACTTTTTTAATACTTTTAGGAATATCCTATAGAAATATTCAACCCATTTTTAGAGTATTCTAAAAAAATATTCCATCCACATTTTGGAATATTCCAGAAATATTCCATAATATTCAATCAAAATGCAAAGAAATATTCCATCTATATTGCAGAGAATTCTAAAGAAATATTCCACAATTATTTAGGAGTATTCCAAAAGAATATTCCATCTAAATCTAGAAATATTCAAAAAAAATAATCCAACTACATTTAGGAATATTCTAAAAATATTCCATCCTCACTTGGGAATATTCCAAATAATATTGCATAACATTCAATAAAAATGAAAAGAAATATTCCAGAATTATTTAGGAGTATTCCAAAAGAATATTCCATCTAAATCTAGAAATATTAAAAAAAATATTCCAACCACATTTAGGAATATTCTAAAATTATTCCATAATATTCAATAAAAATGCAAAGAAATATTCCATTTATATTGCAGATAATTCTAAAGAAATATTCCACAATAATTTAGGAGTGTTCCAAAAAATATTCCGTCTACATTTAGGAATATTCCAAAAAATATTCCATCTACATTTAGGAATATTCCAAAGAAATATTCCATTCTACTTTTAGGAATATCCTACTGGAACATTAAAAATCTTAGAGTATTACTAAAAAATATTTCATACACAGGAATATTTAAAAAAATATTCCTTTTACATTCATAAAAATTCCAAAGAAATATTGCATCCATCTTTAAAAATATTCCAAAGAAATATATCTTCTTTAAGGAATATCCTGCAAAAAGTGTTCTACAAAATTAAGGAATATTTCAAAAGAATATTCCATCCATATTTAGGATTATTAAAAATATTCCATCTAGGAATATCCTAGAGGAATATTCCACCCAATTTTAGAGTATTCTAAAAAAATATTCCAACCACATTTAGGAATATTAAAAAATATTCCATGACATTCAATAAAAATACAAAGAAATATTCCATCTACATTTCAGAGAATTCTAAAGAAATATTTCAACATTATTTTTAAGAGTATTCCAACAGAATATTTCATCTACATTTAGGAATATTCCAAAGAATTATTCTATCTAATTTTAGGAATATCCTACAGGAACATTAAAAACATCCTATAATATTGTCAGAAAATATTTCATTCACAGTTGGGAATATTAAAAAAATATTTTATTTACAGTTAAGAATATTAAAAAATATTCCAGTCACATTTAAAAATATTCCAAAGAAATATATCTTCTTTAAGAAATATCCTGCAAGAATATTCTACAAAATTTAGAAATATTCCAAAAGAATATTCCTTCTACATTTAGGAATATTTAAAAAATATTCCATTCACATTCAGAAATATTCCAAACAAATATTTTATACACATTAAGGAATATCCTGCAAAAATGTTCAACAAAATGTAAAAGTATTCCAAAAAAAAAATAATCCATCGACATTTAGAAATATTCCTAAAGAATATTCGATCGACATTTAGAAATATTCAAAAATATTTCATTCACATTTTTAAAAAATTCAAAGAAATATTCCATATATATATATACATATGGAAGTATTGTAGAAAAATATTCCATCTACACTTACGAATATTCCAAAAAATACTCTATTTACATTTATAATTGTTAGAGAATTATTACTATTTGGAATATCAAAATAGAATTCCAAAAGAATACTTCATCCATATTCAGAAGTACATATTCCAAATGAATATTTCATAAACATTTAGGAATACTCCATACAAATATTCCATTAACAATTAAGAATATTAAAAAATATTCCCTTCATATTTAGGAATATTCCAATCCACAATTTGAAATGTTAAAATAAATATCTTACCTTTGGGAAATTTCATTGAAATATTGTAATATTTTAACCGTGTATTAGGAATATTTCATTGAAGCATTACAGGAACATTGCATCGAAATATTACAGAAATATTCCAACTGAATATTACTTTTCAAATTTACAACATTCTTAGTATGAAAATAATAATTTATATAATGGCGCGAAAATTGAATATTCCATTCACAATACTATAAATACAAAACTTTTTCACATAAATTCCAGTGGAATATCTTTATAATATTTAAGTGAAATATTCCTACATTATTACAAAGGAGGAGTATTCTAAATGTCGGACACTTAAATATTTCTAAAATGTGTCTGAAACATTCTTTTGGATTATTCATAATATTTCAATGGAATATTCCAGGAATTTAAGTGGGATATTCCGTACTATTGGGGTAAATTATTTAATAAAAAAATGATAGTTTTTAAAATTATTATTATTAATATTAATAGTATTATTATTACCATAACTATACTATTATTTTTATTTATATTTATATTATTGCCCCAAAAGCATGAAATATTCCATTCACATTCCTGGAATATTCTATTGGAACATTATGAATATTCCTCTGGAATGTTCTATTCACATGTCCTATTATTGGAATGTTCTTTTGGAATTTTATATGAATATTCCATTAGTGTATTATGGGGATATTCCACTAGAATATTGTACAAATGTTTTTTTATTTTTATTAGTATTATTGATAATATGCTATAATCAATTTTCGAAACATTTAAATAAACTCATCAATATTCATTTTGAACTGAAAAAATTATAAATTTACAAGTAATTTTACTTTGGAATATTTCAATAATATATCTTTAAAATATTCCATTGGAATATCTTTAAAATATTTCAATGTAATACCTTCAAACTATTCCAATGTAATGTCTTAAAAATATTCCAATTGAATATATTTAAAATATTCCATTGGAATATTATTATAGTATAACTTTGGAATATTCTTATAGTGCACCTTTGGAATATTCCATTGGAATATTTCTAAAATATACCTTTGGAGTTCTATTACATTCCAGTGAAAATATTCCAATGGAATATTCCTACATTATTTTTAATGTCGGTCAATTTAATATTCCAAAAAGGTGATTGTAATATTACCTGGAAAGTAAATGGAATATTTTGTTCTATTAGGGTATTAATAGTATGTACCACTATAATTTTTGTATTATTATTTATAATTTATTATTCTTATTACATTATTATATTAATATAATAATTTTTGTTTCTCAACTTTCAGGATAAAGGAATATCACAATAATTACCAGACACTTGTTTTTAATTCGATAAATTTATAACAAAAAAAAAGAAGTGTTAGTTGACAAAATAGAAAAAAAAAGTAAAAACTGATAAAAAAGAGACGAAAAAAAAATTTGTGGGATTATTTTAGTGAAAAATATTAATAATTCTCTCACTTCATGATGGACTTTTTTTATGAAACAAGAAAAAGGAGAATTTTTGCTGCAACTACTCTTGAGTTAATATAGGTAGAAGCAGAAAAGGGTTTTATTCTACTTTTTTTCTTCTCAGTGTTAACGCGTGTGCATTTGTGTTTTTACATATGTGTGCGTCTGTGTGTACTCATCTCGTGGTGGCAATGGTGGATCGTCGAATCCGGCATGGGATTCCAAAATAAACCTGACCTTTCTTCGTGCACCACACACCAATAATAACGGTGAGGATCCCAAAGAGGGAATTTATTATTTTTGAAAAATTTTTATTTTTGTTTTTTCATTATAGTATAAAGGTATATTTTGATACACAAAAAATAATGAATATAATAGGTAATGCGAAGAATAATGGGGAGAATTAATAATGGGCAGAATTTTAATAAAAATGTAATTAAAATGAATTAAAATAATTAAACATATTTTATATAATATATATTATACAGTTATAATATAATATAATATAATATAATATAATATAATATAATATAATATAATATAATATAATATAATATAATATAATATAATATAATATAATATAATATAATATAATATAATATAATATAATATAATATAATATAATATAATATAATATATATAATATAATATAATATAATATAATATAATATAATACTAATATAATACTAATATTGTATATTATATACTTTATAATGAATACTAACAACAATTCGCGCACTTACGCTCGCGGCTGAGTTCTCGCTCGTTTTTTTTAAATAACATTAGCAATTTTAAAAATAATTGAACGTAAAAATTTTTAATTCTAATTTTTTTTTATAAAAATAAAATATGAATTGGAATATATAGTTTTAATATTATTATAATATAATAATCATATATTCTGACATAGGGAATTCAGGGAAAAGTCAGGAATTTTTATTAAAAGTACTGAAAAAATAAAATTTTTAGAATTCATAAGAAAATTCTGAATTTTTGTGCCTTTTTTGTTTGACTCATAAACTATAAAATTACCACGAATTCTAATACAAAACCTTCAATTTTTTCAATATTTCTGACAAAAATTTCTTTTTAAATAACTTTAAGGGGATTTGAACCTTGATGACGTCACAGTTTGTGCAAAGCATTAGTTTTAAATCTGTGACGTCATCATGGTTCAAATGCCCTTAAACCTTGAATAACAATCATAAGATAAATAAATTATTTAATGAATAATTTTACTTAAATATCTCAAAATTAATTTAATTTTAAAAGAGTTGCGTTTACAATTTTCATAAATAAATGCACTTTAAACGGTTTTAATTTGAAAATTTATAAAATTTCAATGTTGAATGAATTAAATTAGAAATTTTAATGAACTTAGATTTTTGAAAAATTTTAATAATTCCCAAACTTCTAAAATCAGTAAAATTAGTCAAAATGTACCTATATTTAATTAATTATTAAAAATAATGGATTTACAAGAGGAATTTTAGTTAATAACACTAAAGAAAATTGAATTTTAAAGAAGTTACAAACGATTGTAGAAATTCAATTATTTTCAAAAGTATAATAAAATTCTAATCACAAAATTGAATTATGTTGAAAATTTACAAAAAAATTCTCGACAAAATCCCAAATATTATCTTTATAAATAAAAAAATTCTGGTTTAAAAAATTTAATAAAATTCTTGTCAAAATTTCAATTATTTTCAAAATGTTTTATAAAAATTCTTGTCAAAATTTTAATTATTTTCAAAAATTTTAATAAAATTCGTGTCAAAATTTCAATTCTTGTTCAAAAATTTTATAAAAATTCTTGTCAAAATTTTAATTATTTTAAAAAATTTTAATAAAATTCGTAGCAAAATTTCAATTACTTTCAAAAAATTTAATAAAATTCTTGTAAAATTTCAATTATTTTCAAAAATTTTATAAAAATTCTTGTCAAAATTTTAATTATTTTAAAAAATTTTAATAAAATTCGTGGCAAAATTTCAATTACTTTCAAAAATTTTAATAAAATTCTTGTCAAAATTTTAGTTTTTGTTCAAAAATTTTTATTAAATTCTTGTCAAAATTTTAATTATTTTCAAAAATTCTATAAAAACTGTTGTCAAAATTTCAATTATTTTCAAAAATTTTAATAAAATTTGTGTCAAAATTTCAATTCTTGTTCGAAAATGAAAAAAAAAAATTCTTGTCAAAATTTCAATTATTTTCAAAAATTTTATAAAAATTCTTGTAAAATTTCAATTATTTTCAAAAATTTTTATTAAATTCTTGGCAATTTTTTAATTATTTTCAAAAATTTTAATAAAATTCGTGGCAAAATTTCAATTACTTTCAAAAATTTTAATAAAATTCTTGTCAAAATTTTAGTTTTTGTTCAAAAATTTTTATTAAATTCTTGTCAAAATTTTAATTATTTTCAAAAATTTTTATTAAATTCTTGGCAAATTTTTAATTATTTTCAAAAATTTTAATAAAATTCGTGTCAAAATTTCAATTCTTGTTCAAAAATTTTATAAAAATTCTTGTCAAAATTTTAATTATTTTAAAAAATTTTAATAAAATTCGTAGCAAAATTTCAATTACTTTCAAAAAATTTAATAAAATTCTTGTAAAATTTCAATTATTTTCAAAAATTTTATAAAAATTCTTGTCAAAATTTTAATTATTTTAAAAAATTTTAATAAAATTCGTGGCAAAATTTCAATTACTTTCAAAAATTTTGATAAAATTCTTGTCAAAATTTTAGTTTTTGTTCAAAAATTTTTATTAAATTCTTGTCAAAATTTTAATTATTTTTAAAAATTCTATAAAAACTGTTGTCAAAATTTCAATTATTTTCAAAAATTTTAATAAAATTTGTGTCAAAATTTCAATAAAATTTGTGTCAAAATTTCAATTCTTGTTCGAAAATTAAAAAAAAAAATTCTTGTCAAAATTTCAATTATTTTCAAAAATTTTATAAAAATTCTTGTCAAAATTTTAATTATTTTCAAAAATAATAAAAATTCCACAAGAAGTCAAATATTTACAAATTTTTTATAAATTTCTTCACAATAATTCAATTATTTTCAGAATTAATAAAACGTTCGCAGAATTTCAATTATTTTTAATACAATTTTAATCGAATTCCTTTAAAAATGTAACTATTCTAAAAAATTTTATTAAAATTCATCAAAAGAATTTAATTATTTAAAAATTTGTTTATAAAATTCTTTACAAGAATTAAATTTCAAGAAACATTCAATTATTCAATAAATAATTTACTTTTGAATTTAAATAATATAGAACTTTCGTAGAATTTTCTAATAGAAATTGATTTGAAAATGAATTTTAGTTTAAATATTTTAGATAATAATAGAATATGAAAATAATTTTTAAATAGTTACAGTAAAAATATTCTTATAAAATTAAAAAATGATTTGAACACTCGATTCGTAAATAAATTTAACAGAACTTTTTTTTCAATAAAATTTCTTCCTTTATTTTCTAAAAATTCAAAAATTTTCAGTTTCATTTGCAAATAAAATTTTCTAACTGAAAAATATAATTTAAAACATTTTTTTCCTTTTATTTTGAAAGAACTGAATTTTATTAAAACAAAATTGAAATTAAAAAATAGAATTGATGCAAATTATTTCCTTATGAAAATTGAGAATTTTTAAGAAAAGAAAAACAAAAGCATACATTGTTTATTACTGATTAAGATTAAACTGATTAAATATACAACTGCAAAAAAAAAAAAAAAAAAAATGTTGAATCGCGTCTTCATCACTATTAATCTCGTATAAATATTCGCTTTTCCCTTTCCTTTATTTATTGAGCAATGTTTATCATACTTTGTGACGTAGTCGATGGCTTCAATTGAGCACGTGGCTATTAACAAACACGAGGTCTGTTTGTCGATTATCACACAGGGATTTTAAAAAAATTGAAAAAAAGAAAATTAGAGGAATAATAATGTTTCAGAAATTTTTGTATTGTCTATCAGAAAGATAGAGTGTTTTATCCAGAGAAAGAAAGACAGAAAGAAAGAGAGAAGGGAGGAATGTTTCAAGATTTATCAAAGATAATATTCTTAAGGAAATCATTCATTACGTAAATAACTCCAATCTTTATTATTAACTCACACGATGAACTTGAATTTAGAAACATGCGAGAAAAATTAAATTCTACAAAAATTTCAACCTTAATTTTCTTCTTTTAACGATTATATAAATTATTTAATATAATAATATAACGTTTTCAGTTTTTCACATTTTAAAATTAATTTAACCTTTGTGAAGAAGTAGGTTATCGGCTAATTTCCGGAAGTGAATAATCAAATATATTCCATATATATTTTATATATATATACTGAAGGGGAGAATTTAAAATATGACAATTTATTTAGTGAAGAAATTAAATCCAAGAATCTAAAAAAATTGGAGACGATAAAAATATAAAAATATCGAATAAGAAAAGTAAATTAAAAATTGAAATTCATTTATATTAATTGTCAAACTTTCTAAATTTGATTAAAAGTAATTATAGAATTACGAAATTGACGAACACGGGCATTTTAAGATTCAATATGGAGACGCTACTCTCCACCTGAGAACGCCAAGGTCACCCGTCAGGTGGCAGTTCGATTTCCTCGCCACCTGATGGCGACCTTGGTGTTCTCAAGTGGAGAGACTGAATCATTTTATCCCCCAAAAACTTTTTTATAATTAGAAAATTAAATTGTTTTTTTTTTTAATTTTTAATTATAAAAAAGTTATCAATTTTAAAATTAATTAATTTAATTAAAATTTTTAATTTTTAAAAATGAAATAATTTAAATTGCGTGTTTTTAGTGGTACATTTATAATGCTATTATTTTATTGTAAACTATTATTATTTTTTAAACTATTATTTATTTATAAATTTTTATAGTCTATAAAAAAAGTATCAACTGTTTTCGGTTTTTATAGTGTGAAAAATAACTTTAAACAAATATTTCAAAAATTATTTTTGAATAATTTTTATTAAAAGAATCTTAAATAAATAAATAAATAATTAAATTTTTCGAAGTATAAAATTCGAAAATTTTTGAATAATTAAAATTTTTGTAAAAATTAATTGAAAATAATTGATTTTTTTCAAATATTCGATTACAATGTTTGAAAATAATCAACTTTTGAAGGATTTTAATTACGAATTTTGAAAATAATTGAATTTTTTAAAATTTTAATGAAATCTGTTAAAGCGTAAATTTTAAAAAGTGAAAAGTATAATG